GTTGCCGAGTTTTCCGCCTCATGGGGCAGAATTATCTGAGGAGATCCTAAAGAAGTGTTCGTGGAACTATTCTTTGAAATGCAATCAACTGGTATTATGGCATTAGCTGAGCTTCCCTGTGCAACACCTGATGAAGTGTCAATAAATGTGCTCCACGAGGTAGAACATGGCAATTTGTGAGTGAAATGTGTTTCAGGAGAAGTCGGAGGTGAATCTATAGAAGACTTGACGAACCGTTCATTTACAGTACACTCTGATGGCTTTCCAGCACAATTTAAGGGCGTTTCCTGTGGAACTCGTGGAGTACTTATGGAGTATTCGTCTGTGTGAATGTTTAAAATGGAACCACATCCTCCAAATCGTTCGTTTGCACAGCCAAACACTACTTTGGGAACACCCAAATATCTCAAAGCCGCTGAACACATGATGCAAGGCTCAACCGTCACATAAAGACAACACCCTCTCAAAACTTCCTCAAAACAGAGACATTGCCTTTCACACCACAACTTCACTTGATCAAAGGCCACTAGTTCTGCATGTCTTGTTGCATTTTTTGTTTCATTTACCTCATTTCGTCCTGTTCCAATAATTTGGTTTTTGTACACCATTATGCATCCGACAGGTACCTCGCCCTTTTTCAGAGCATCTTTTGCCTTTTAAGGAATAGAATTGCAAACATGAGAAAAGACTTCAAAAGGGATATATTCAATTGTGTAGGTAGGTTTTTGTCATTGGTGGATTGCCGTCACAAGGACCTAAATTAAATGTAGCAAAATTACAACCTACTCTTTAGATAGATATTGTTATCATTTATTGAAAACTGGATCATTGGAGAATATAATGCAATTCAAGAGCTTTGATTCATTGCCTTAGCCATCATGGTATATTTGACAATTAAACCATGCTCTACAAATGTGGTAAGTGTATACATAATTTTTTGGGGCATATTTTTATTTCTATTACATTTTAGTTTTCTATATTTTGGGGGCATTTTTAATAAAACAATTATTCCGCTCAAGCTTGTTAAATAAGCTACGCACCTTGTTGGCTTTCCATAATCTTATATTCAAGAAGAAGAACAGTAATTGTTTTAAAAATATACACTTTATTAACTTGTCTTAATGTAGGCACTTTCATGGCTATTTTAGATGATTTCAAACTGCAGGCCTTTTTCTGCAGGGGAATGGAAGAGGGTCCAGTTTTTTGCAGGGGTTGGTTGGGGGTAGGGGTTGTTGATCTCTTGGCTAATCACCCAGCCCTGGTGGTTTGTCCAGGAGCTTCCCGACCACAGAATGAATCTCCTGGTCTTTCCGAATTACAAATCTTTGGGATACGCATGTAGTTTCCCACTGATTTTGCCCAGATTTAGGCACTTTTGGATGCGATTTTGAATGTTTATGGGACTTATTTTTTGACAGCCAGCAATTTCTATGCGTCGAGAAGACATAAGCTTACCTACAAACAAAATCCAGCATCATTCTCTTCATCTAGAGTACACACTGTGTCTTCAAGCTTAGTTAATTTTCTAGCCAAAAAAAGTTAAGCCCGGTCCTCACTTGCAATGCAAGCATAAGCATAAGTGCAAGCATTACGGCCTAGTTGGGACGGCTGTGGCACAAGCTTAATTTTAGGCCTTCTGTTTCTGTTGCTGTTATGTTCAGTGAGGGCATGGTCGGCATAAAGTGCTCGCTCATTGGCTGAAAGTCTGTCGCTTATGGATGCTTATGCTTATACCAACCGTGTTCCCACTGGACATAACAGCGACATAAGCATAAGAAATACGCAAGCTTTCGATACCCTTATGCTTTATATGTCCGCCCTTCCCTTCTAGCGCATAAGCTTCTTTTATGCTTGTGCTTGTGCTTTTGTTTGCGTCGCAAGTGAGGACCGGGCTTTCGGGACTTCTCTTGAACTGTTTTCAGAAATGCCTGTTTTGATTACAACTGCAATTGGCTACTCTCATTAAGGATACTTAAGCTACAGATGTCGATTTTCTCACCAAATTTAACGCGGATTCCATCCACTTTTCATCCTGGCTGTCCGCCATCTTGTTGGATTCCAGTCCTCTCTCTACCTATTTTTCTCAATTCTGCGGGCTCATAAACAAAGTCTCGTGACACGTGAGACACGTGAAGTTGAACCAGGAGAGTGGAATTGACTTTCTTCATCAGTTGCTTCCTGCTCTCTACTTCCTTTTTCTCTTGTTCCTGTTTTTCTGTGAGAGGAAGTTGACATTGGAACAAAGAATTCCAAACGTTAAGGTTGTTTTAGCGGACGGCGTTGAAATGGCGAATGCAGAAGATGTAAGATGACTTAAACTTAGAATTAATTTAGAAAGATAACTTATTTTATAAGCTTAAGTATGTATTTACGAATTGTTTTATTTGTATTTTAGTTCGCTCTATGCATTCCATAAAATAAGTAATTTACAAGATATATTTTTAAAAGCTTTGATCTGGATTTGCGATCACTATCTTAAAGATAATTAATGTCGTTTCTTAACCAGGGAAGAAAGCTGTGGGGTGGACGTTTCACTGGAAAAGTGGATCCAGAGATGGATAAATTTAACGCCTCCATTGGTTTTGATAAAAGAATGTGGAAGGAAGACATCGTGGTAATGATAGAAATACTAAGTGTTATCTATACAAGTCAATAAAGGATGTCTTATCGCCTTTGATGATCATAAGATTTATCCCAACCTCGTCAGACAGATCAGAGGTCCAGTCATCTACGATTCAATAAGCCATTAATGACTCACTGGTGAAATTGTACTCCATATATGTACATACCCCATGGAAGATCATTGGAAATTCTGAGGGAGGGGGTGGTCTCAAAATCCCAAAATGTAAAGGAAAGTGTGACGCTAAACCGGAATTTCAAGGGAGGGGGGTGGGGGTGGGGAGTTTAAACCATAAAACCCTTCATAAGCAGAGTCTGAACATTTTCTGGAACAAAATATAATAATCATATTTATACCCCTTTGAAATTATTATGCACCAGTTAAATTGTATTTAAATATTTTCTTTTATTTCACTTACTAAATGCTTTCTTTGCCAAAAGGGAAGTGAAGCATATGTCAAAGGAATAGAGCAGGCTGGTTTGGTCACCAATGATGAAATGAAGGAAATCCTGAGTGGTCTAGGAAAGGTCAGTGGGCATAAGATGTGACATGTGACCTTTTCAACGCGTTGAAGTAAAGTTCTGTTTCTTGAGAGGTGTGTTCAGATGATTGACTTCAGCAAAACCCAAAACTGTCGATTGAGCAGAGTTCATGTTGTATTGAAAGGTGCAATAGTGATGAAACAAAAATTTGTCAGAATTCATAAGTAAATTTTGTAACTGTTTTAGTACAAGTTTCATTGTTCACTACAATTGATAAAACTAATTTTGTTTGAGTCAGTATGCTTTGCATTCATCCTCAGGTTAAGGAAGAGTGGGCTAGTGGAAGTTTCATTCTTCACCCTTCAGATGAAGACATTCACACAGCGAATGAGAGAAGATTGAAGGTAATTATGCTGGAAATTCAGAGGGAGGGGTGGGAGGGGGGGTCTCAAATGCAAAAATTGGT